TTCCTGGATAATTTCACACACATAGACTTACTTTCTGAAGCAATACTAAAAACCAAGAGCCATCTCCTGATGTAAGACAGTGGTAAGAGGAAAACAAGAGGAATATAGAGACCCTCACTTTCAGAAAGGGTCAGAAATTAACACTAAAAGAAAAACATCCTTTTGAATCTCAGTGCTCTGTAAATAAGACACTTTTAAAACTATTTATACCAAAATATGTGCAAACTGCCAGGAGATACACGTTTTTGAAAACCAAAGATAGTTCTGCTTTTGGTTTTCTTTAGAAAGCTGTTTTCAGAAACAGATTTCTATGACTTGAACTGCACATAAAAATAAATGTGATGGTTTGGTTTCTAAAGCTCTTGAATCCAAATGGATTGAACTGTTCTCCCCATAATGACGGTCCTGACTATGCAGTCTGCCCCCTTTTCCCTTGACTGTGTTCACAAATATAATATTAACTTTGCCTACTGGATGCCACTTTCACCCTTCATTACTTTGGGCTCTAGATCCTTCCAGAGAGATGAAGGACAAACAGTTTTTAAAAATAAACTACCAAGGGATCAGCAGATGGTGTAATGTCTACGTTGCTGGACTCCCACACAGTCACCACAATTCCAGTCCCGGACCTGGTGAGGTAAAACTCACGCCAAGCACGTGAGCACACATGCTCAAGATCCCAAGAGGAGAATTAGAAGGGACTGTGGCATGGCCATCCGCCCGGGGGGCGGGGGGTGGGGTGGGAGTGTGATTCTTGCTTTCTGTCTCTCCAGCTCTGTCTCTGGCCCAACGAGCCCATGACCCTATAGCAAAAATCTCTCTTAAAAAATAAAAATAGGGAACCAGCAGTTAGCAAAATGGCTATGTTACTGGATTCCCACGTAGTCGACCACGGTTAGCGTCCTGGACCCGGTGGCTTAAAACTCACGCCGGGCGCATGTGCGTGCGTGCCCAAGATCCCGAGAGGAGAATGGAGGAGAAGGGACTGCGGCGTGACCATCCCCCCAGGGGATGATTTTTTGCTTTCTGTCTCTGTGGTTCTCTCTGTCTGTCTGGCGAGCGCACACGCTCTATAGTGAAAATCTCTCCAAAAATAAATAAATAAATAAAACTCCTGGGGCCTGCAGAGAGCATGTCTGTTACATTCCTGGACTCCCACATAGCTGACTGCAGTCTGAGTCTTGGACCCGGTGACTCGAAACTCATACCAAGTGCATGTGTGCCCAAGATTCTAGGAAGAGAACGGAGGAGGAGGGATTGCAGCATGGTTATCCCCTTTAGGGAGTGATTTCTCAACTTTCTCTCTCACTGTCTCTGTCTCTCTTTCTGTCAAGTACACACACCTATACAAAAAAACTCTAATAAATAAATAAAAATAAACTCCTTTATCCCTACTTGTGCTAGCTTACCACGAAGGGAGGCTGCCCTTTCTCACTTCATGCATGAAGCCCTGGGAGGCAAGAAACCTAGAGGAAGAATATCTCCAAGTCCCCAAGTTTCAAAACATATACTCTTAGAATATGTCCTACTCCTTTAAAGCTCCATTCAAAGCAGATCACTGTTTTCTCAGGAGCTGCAGTAGTGTTAGGCAAGGTTTTTGGAAGAAAAGACCCTGTAATTAATGGTGAAGGTGTGCTGAGGAGGATGTGGGAACTTTTAAAAATGTCTAGTCACATCTTCAACAAGGTTTCTTGCTTGAAAAAAGTATACAAAGCCCTAGGGACAAATGGGAAACAACTCTCAAAGACAAAGAAATGTGAAATGAGTCAAGGAAAAAAAAATATGTATTTCATTTTTTTCATAATGTTCTGTCAAACCCCATGTTCCAGGACCACACACATTTCGAGACAACACCTCAATGCTATGTGAGCGGTCAGGCCTGCTGCTGCCCTGAAGCAGTGGATGGGAAAGCAGCACAGTTAAAAAGTTGATGGGAGCCATGGCAGTCACTCAGCTATCAGCCACTTCCGGCAAACTTTCCATGGGAAGCGAATCTCTAAACTTCACGTGCAGAACCCCAAGCCTTGCCACCTCACCAAATGTTTAACTACCACATCTGTTTTAGCAACATGGACTACTACTAGCATGTCATTTAGGATTACTCAATTTTAGGTTTCCTGTCCTGTGAAATACTTTACACAAGTTACCAGGAGATAATGTGGTCCTCACCAGCTTCCTGCTTATCAGTCTTCCCCCAACTAACAGACTGTATTTGCTTACATTTCCCCATTACAAAAAACCTCCCACCACCAACTAAAAACAAAACAAAAATGAAGAAAAAGAAGCATCCAAAAGACCCTCTTTCAAGCTCCTGGGTTTCACACCCCAATGCCACAGCTCAACACTACTTTGCCCTATAGTAGTCCTCCCCCTTGCCCAATGTGATGGCACCACCATTCTTCAGTTATCACAGTACTGTACCTTTCAGATATACAGCATCGGTACCATGATAACCGAAAAAGGACAGTTCAGTCTCATATCAACCCGAATCATTCCTCCCACCTAGCTCGCCGCCCACAGATAGTCACACAGTGATCGATGAATATGTGAGCATGTGTGCAGATACCCATGTGCGCATGCACACACACACACACACACACACACACACACCAGTACTCAAAAAGCTGTTTTCACCAACCCATTTATTATCGATGGTAAATGCTTCTTTCACTGTGCTGTTCATAAGTCAAGTCCTCTGATGAGCTGATCTTTTTAAAGATATCTTGCTTTTATACCTCAGCGGCCAACTTGAGCTAATATGCCATGGCTCAGACTCTCTTCTACAATTTCCCACTAGTCCAGTAGTCTTTCCTTTCTTCATCTTTTTCAGCTAGCTCATACCCTATCATCTTTGACAAAAGACAGACCATTTTCCATAGCAAGTGAAGCTGCTAGTGAAGAAAGGAACTGAAAACATTAGTAACAATTTTTAAGCTCTGTAGAACCAAGAGTTTACCTCCAAGATGGAAACAGCATCTAAAGCATAGACAAAAGAAGATCTGCCCAACATATACAAGGCAACTTTAATTACATGAGAATGAAAGATGGGAATGAGAAAAGAAAAGGCAAAAGTTTTCGTATGTAAAAATAAACACCAAGTTAAGAGTGACAACCGCTGGCTCATTTAAGGAATAATACAAGCAGGTAGTCATAGAGATAGTCTAACACCTTTGTCATTTTGTGCAATAAGAAAAACAGATTAGACAGAATCATGAGGCTTAAAGAAAATAAAAAGGGAGAGAGTGGTCCTAGCAGGACTTTGGAAACATCCTGCTGTCCAAGGGTCATAAGCAGCAAAGCCAGGCTTTGATTGGTTGAATCCACACATCCACCCTGTAAACACAAACACCTTGATGATTAATCATTGAACAAACCAGAAAATGGAAAACCAACAAAGAGAAGAGAAAAACAACAGAAACATACACTCAAATATCATAACCCACAGAATAGTAGACTGCAAAGTTTGAGCAATAATGGAACAGAAAACCAGTCTTCCCTTTTATCAATTTTAATAGATTATCACAACGAAATGACATTCAAATTTCCTTTAGTGAATCAAGTGAAAAATAGACTTTCAGACTTTCCTTTGTAATTAAAACAGCGGAAGAACATCGTTTTATTGAGTAAAAGCAAAAAAAGTGTAATAAATTTCAGAATATATATGAATAATTCCAAAGGTTAAGTGGATGACATTTATATTTATTTCAACTGTCATATACTACTGGGGTCACTTTGACAGGAAAAGGTCTCTAGAGTCTCACTCTTACCCTTATTCAAATACATTCAGAACTGCTTGCCCCACGATGGTAACTTCTCTTTGTATCTTTCTTTGTGCCCTAAAACTAGAGAAATGTTAAGGGTAGATCTCTCCGTTCATATTAATTGTGTATTATTTTCCCCATGTTTCTTTCTTTTTCTTCTAAAGTAATAAGCAAACATAATTCTCTTCAAAAACTTTTTTCTGAAGTGTAATTGTGTTGGTTGTCTTTCTTTTTTCATTTTCTCCATTTCAGTCATTTTGCTAGTCTACCATCTGTCACTGTTGCTTAAATGTGTGCCTTAAAAGGGTCTTTTCCTTTTTCTTTTGTAAACTGGCAGAGTGTACATATCCTTACCAGAGAGAGAGAGAAAGAAAGAGAGAAAGCCACCCCCCGCCCCGCAATGGTGCATGGTCATGCCACAATGTCTTCTCTATTTCTCCATCTTCTCAGGATTTTGGGCATGCATGCACATATCTTTGGTGTGTTTTTTAAACCACCAGCACAGAGATTCAAACCATGGTTGACCATGTGGGATCTGGCTCCCTTAACCAGTAGGTTATGGGGCTGACACACACACAAAACTTCACAAAAAAGTCTTTATTTCTAATCATTCTAAGATAACTTAATTTTTAATTATTTAAATTTACATTATACACAGTAAAAACAGAATGACCTTAAATTTCTACACATTTTGCACAACTCACAGTAAGAAACTCTGTTTCTGACTATGACACATTGCTGTCCAAGGCTAGATCTGAAAGAGAATTAAGTGTCCAGAGAGTTGTTTATGTGGGAATACCCGTTTTTAATGCACGCAGGGGAAAGAATAAATTAATTCTTAGGTGCAGACATCTATTCACAGGTTATCATTTAGAAGACCAACAATGGTGTAGAAAATAAGGGTTTATCTTACCCTAGCTTTTATGAAAACCTATTGTTCTTCCTGTATAAGCTACCGGGGAATATTATTTAGTTCACTTAGTAAATCTTAAGACAAAAAAAGTTTCTTTTCTATCCAAAAAGGAAAATCTGACCCTTGAAGACTATGAGGACTAACAAAAGCAATTCTGTCTTACAGATCTTGCTCCCTTTCATAAGACAATCTGATTCCTATCATTATGCAGTTATTCCACCATTCCCATCTGATTTTTGTATGGACAAAAGTATAATGCAATAAATATCTTAGGGTCTGTGTACAAGATAACATGGAGGGAGTGACAGGAGCTAAGGCAATGGGTGGGAGGAATTATCACACCAGAAAGAGGATGTGGGGAGCAGGTACTTAAGCTGGCTCCAGAGGGATGCCTGGGGTTTAAGGAAGGAAGAAAGAGCAGGATGAAAGGGGAAATAATGATGCAGGACTGGTAGAAAACAGCCTGGAGCCAGACTGAGAGGGATGCAGAACCCCAGAGGGCAGGTAGGCACTGAGTAAGGCCTTCCTAACTGCATCAAGGATTCTGACTTTACCTTGTGAAAGTGAGAGGCTAGTAAGGTCTCAGCACAGGGCTGAAAACATCAGATTAAGTTTTCATGAGGAGATTTAGACTGAAAGAATGTTGGAGAGGGTTTAGAAAGAACTTCCCCTCTGAATGTGGGAGTTAGATCTGAGGTGGAGCAGGGAGGGAAGGAAGGCAATGGATGGAGCAGCAAAGAGGATGGAAAGGGCAGTTTCTGCAAGTTCCAAGAGAGCTTGGAAACTGATGAGATGTAAGTGGAACAAGAGGGATTATATCAGAGGCTTAAACTTTGATACAGGCACCAGCAGTTAGCGCTAGACTCTCATGTAGTCGACCACGGTTTGAGTCCTGGACCCAGTGGCTTAAACTCACGCCAGGTGTGTGTGCGTGCATGCCCAAGATCCCAAGAGGAGAATGGAGAAGGGATTGTGGCATGGCCATCCCCTCTGGGAAGGAGGGGGTGATTTCTCGCTTTCTGTCTCTCTGTCTCTCTCTTTCTGGCGAGCACACGCGCCCTATAGCAAAAACCTCTCAAAAAAAAAAAAAACTGGTACAAATTAACAGCACCTTCAAAAGGGATGGATGTTATTACTCATTCATAGCACAGATCTATAGAGAATTGTTCAGAAAACACAAAGTACTTTCATCCTTTTAATAAAGATCACAAAGGAATTTTTTTTATTTTAATAACTACAACAAAATAATACAAATGTGGCCCAGACACAATGAAAGGCTCAAAGTAAATCTAAACTAGAGCAGAGAAAAAAAAATTATAGACTAATCTAGACCACATGCTGTTCATCTTGTGGACGGGTAGGCTGTGCTTTCCACTGAGGTTTACAGTCGGCTATTCATGTATTCAATCCTATGGACCACTAGTTAGAACTAAAGTGTACCAAGATCAGAGAGAGGGCCTGGCCACCATCAAGGGACCAAGAAAAGAAATCCTGCAAAATTCAATGAGGGGCCTAGAGACACACCAAACACATGCACCTTTCTTCCCCCTCACAAATGTGTAGATGGCAAAATGAAATTTAGTAATAACCAGCAGGGCAACATCTTGATCATGTACCCCCAAATATTTACTTACCACATTTTTTTAAAAATCACCAAAAACTGAACTGATTTAGCACCAATAATATCTGAGGCCAGCCTTGGGCTGTCCAAGAATATGAAGAGTACCTCTTCCCCTTCAGGACGACTTCATTTCTTTCCTCCACTATTTCCCAGCTGAAACGTGAGTAGAGGGAAGAAGCCACTTCCCTAAAAATACAACTAAAGGTCTTTTGACTTCCATTTTAATTACATGGACATTAAACAGGACCATTTAGGACCTGGAAATGTTAATTTTGAAATGACTCATTCCACTTGTTCTACCTTGTGACACATGAGCATCATTTAAGAATGCTGACTTGGGTCAGGGAGCAGGCTATAACTATGAGCTATTTTTTGATGATGCCCATCTAGGAATCAACACCCACAATCAATCGATACTTCACCATACCACAGCAATAAAATGAACCTGAAGTAATGGAAGAATTAAAAGGAAAATAAAATTGCCACTGTGCCCATTTTACTGATTTTATTTCACTAGGCTTAGATGTGATTTTTGCTACTTTACGTAAAACTTCCTTGGAGACTGACTACAGAGACTTAAGAACAGAAAAGAAATAATGCAGATAAATATTAAGGATGGAAGTCTCCTCAGCTCCTGGTGGAGAAGAGGGATGATTTACAAACATTAGGCACCATCTGATAGCAAATCGTATATTCTTGCTAGTGCTCAGTTCAAGAATGTGAGCCTTAGCAGACACAACAGAAAAATGATCACTACCTGGAGCCCATCCTGAGCTCTGCATGTCAAGGACAAGGTTCCACCTTCCTGATGTGGGACCACAATAGAAGACAGTACAGGCTACACAAGTCTCAGAACCAGATTTGAGATCCTCGTCTAAATACATGGAACCTGAGAGAATGTATTTTCAGGCAACTGCATCTTATTCCTTCTGCCATCCATCATCTTCCTTCCCTCTCCCAATTTCTTCCTTACTTAGGTCACCTCAACTAAGTTGGGAAAACAGAGTAAAAGCATGTGGATGTTGGATCAAAAAGAAAGACTGTGGCAACTGAAAAGCATAAGTTGGTCTGAACTGTGTCACAGGAGCAGAGCTGCAGAAGCAAAATGGTAATTGGTTAAACTTTGTCTTCAGCATCATGTTGCTTTTTTTCTATCCATTGTTCTTACACTTTCCAAAGCCCTCACTATGTTGTAACATAAACTCACTTCCCAAGAAATTCTCCTATGCTCTAGTAGATGTTGCAAAATCTAGCCTGCTGACACTTTTTAAAATTGTTTTGTTTTTATAAAGATTTTTGCCATAAGGTATGTGCACTCACTAGAAAGAGACAGGGAGAGAGGAAAAGTTAGAAATCATCCTGTGGGGGCATGGCCATTCCCAATCCCTTCTCTATTCTCTCAGGATTTGGGGCATGCACAAATATACAGCTGGAGTGTTTTTCAAGTCCCTGGGTCCAGGACTTGAACCATGGAGAAGGCCATGTAAGATCCAATGCCTTAACCACCACATCACCTTCTGGCCCTACATTGCATTTTATTTTATTGCCAGAGGGTACATGGGCTTGTCAGACAGACAGACACAGAGACAGAGAGAGAGAGAGACAGAGAGAGAGAGAACACCCCCTAATAGGGTGTGGTCATGCCACAATCCTTTTTCCTCTATTTCTCCATGTTATTTGGATTTAGAGCAAGCACGTAAATGCACCCAGCATGTTTTTCAAATATCTGGGACCAGGATTCAAACTCTAGCTAGCCACATCAGACCCAGACCCTATGTACACAGAGTGCTTAACTGCTGTGCTAAAGGGCCAGCCTAATGTTTATATTATACATCTGAATCACCTGTCACATCCAAATCCAGATTTCTAGCTTCTCTTGAAGAATCTGAATCTTCTCTTGAAGAATCAACAAGCCACGGGAACCAGCAGTTAGCGTAATGGCTATGTCGCTGGACTCCCACATAGTTGACCGCGGTTCATGTCCCGAACCCGGTGGCTTAAAACTCACACCGGGCGTGTGTGCGTGCGTGCCCAAGATCCCGAGAGGAGAATGGAGGAGAAGGGATTGCGGCGTGACCATCCCCTCTGGGGGGTGATTTCTCGCTTTCTGTCTCTAATGTCTCTCTCTGTCTGGCGAGCGCACATGCCCTATAGCAAAAATCTCTCAAAAAAAAAAAAAAAAAGGGAAGAATCAACAAGCCACCATCCCAATGGCACTAGTCAGGAAGGTAAGACGGTAACCTCTCTGGTCAGTGGCCAGTCATCATCTCATCTTACCTGCTCTGTTGTGTATTTGCTTTTTAAACCTTCCCTCTCCTTTATGATTCTGTTCTAGTTCTTTCCTTTGCCCACTGTTAAAAACTTATCTATTTGCCCTTGGGTCAGCCTGTGGTATGGTGGTTAAGGTGGCCAAATCCCACAGCTGCCCACACAGTTTGAGTCCCAGACCCAACAGCCTGAAACATACACCAGGCATACCCAAAATCCCAAAAGGAGGGAGATGTATGAGAGCAGATTATGGCATGACCAACCCTCATGGAAGGATGCTTTCTCACTTTCCTTCTTTCTCCCTCTGTCTTTCTCTGGTGAGCACACATGCCATCTGGCAAAAATTAAAAACAAAAACATACCTACCTTATGTCCCAATCCAGTACAACTGGATCTCTGTTCATGGACTAATTCAACGAATCCAATTAAACTACCATAGTTAATGCTAAACTGTTTAATTTGTAGACACAGGTTAACTGCTTGGCCTATGCTCAGAAGAAGAATGTTGCAAAGGAGGAAGCAGAAGAAACACCAAACTGCTTCCCAATCGCTGTTCTCCCAGAACCTGCAGGGACTAAGGACATACCCTGTAGATTTCTTCAAGCAGCAGCCTGGCACAGTTCCTGCCAAGGTCCTCTGGGAGCACCGCTGCTCCCTGACCCTGAGGGTTAGAGGCCAGTTCAGCACTGAGGAAGGTGCCATTGGTGGTCTCAGCAACAAGTGACAATCCAAAGCCTGGAGACCTGGGGAGTCAAAGGCACAGATGTTGAACAGGGTTAATGAGGTGGGGTTCACACTCACCAGCAAATGGAAAGAGAGACAAATATCTGTTTGATGCCACTATGTCCTAATGCTGCCTTCTGGTTATATTAAGGCTTGTCAGAGTTCTTCCAAGCTTATACGACTAATACAGGTGACTTATTGAGGACGCACAAGGCTGAGCCAGGAAAGATGTGAGCTGGCACTGCTTTGTCCCTCCTACACTGCAAAAGGGTCTCAGTGTGAGAGTTTGTAACAATCAACAGAATATGAAGACATGAACAAGAGTTACCAGATATTGAGCACCTACTTCCTGCTAGTTACTGAGCTAGGGGCTTTGCAAATAGCGTTTGCAATACTGTAACTTTGAATTAAGTCTATTACTGTGTTATTTTACAAATGAGGAAGTGAAGAAATTAGGTAACCTGCACCTAGTCCACACAGAAAGTACCTGGGGCAAGTTTCAAAGGCAGGTCTTCCTGACCCTAGCCTCTACAAGGTCCAAATACAACACTTACTCAATCCTTAAACACAATGATCCCAAGAGTTATGAGGGGCCTGAAGACTACCTGATTAACACTCTTCTTGAGAAGCATCAGATTTCTTTCCCATAATGAAAAACAGCACCCAGAGGGGAAAAAAAAAAAAAAGAGAGAAGAGACACCTTTACTTTTGTGTCTCCAAAGGACACCTCTAAACTCAGAATTCAATGAATAGAACCAATGAGTCACATCATGTTCTCATCCAAAAGCCAGAACTTAATCCTCTTCCTGTCCACAGCCATAGCTGACACAACAAACATCTAGGGGGAAAAGCGTTCATGGGCCAGGAATGAGAGGTGCCATGGTGAACACAAGAGTTCTTGTCCTCACAGAACCTAGTAACAACCAGTCTGACCACGAAAGAAAATCAATCCATAAATAACATAAAGAAGCACTTCTCGGGAACCAGCAGTTAGCGTAATGGCTATGGTGCTGGACTCCCACATAGTCGAACGCGGTTCGTGTCCCGGACCCGGTGGCTTAAAACTCACGCTGGGTGCATGTGCGTGCGTGCCCAAGATCCTGAGAGGAGAATGGAGAAGGGATTGCGGCGTGACCATCCCCACTGGAGGGTGATTTCTCGCTTTCTGTCACTATGTCTCTCTCTGTCTGTCTGGCGAACGCACGCGCCCTATAGCAAAAACCTCTCAAAAAAAAAAAAAAGAAAGAAAGAAGAAGAAGCACTTCTCCATAAAATTTCAAGATTCAATACTTCAAACCTACTTTGCCCAATGCCTTTTAAGCATGTCATCAGGAGCATATGGCAGCCTTCCCAGTAGTACAACACACATGCAGGCACAAAACAAGCCTGGCCTCCTCTGACACAATCGAACATGTGTTCATAAAACACTTTCCATGCATCTGCCAGGACATAACCAAAACATTCATTCCAGAAAAATTGGAGGTGAAATTACTGATGCTCCCAAATCTATCTTGAAACTACTGGGTCATCGAGAAAGTCATGCCACATTTTTGCATAGAAAAATATAAGCGTTCACTATATGGAAGGATTATATTGATCCATTCTTCCTTCCTAACAATGATTATCCAAGGCAGTCAAGTCCCCTGCCAAGTTGGAAGAGGGTACAGTGAGTTACCCATTTAATCAGAGGTTGTAGATTACTTAGTGGCATGCTTAATAATCTTACAATGTGCCATCTACCCACGGGAAACCCAAAAAATTTTAACACAAGCTCAAGCTGCTTTTGAGTAACTTGACCAGGAGGAGGGTGCTATATTTGAATATGGTCAGTCTCCACCAAAACTCCTGCTGAGGTTTGGTCTGTACTTAAGTGTTGGGAGGTGGGGCCTAATGGGAGGTGATCAGGTCATATGGGCTCCACTCTCATAAGTAGATTAACTCTGCTCTGGCAGGAGTGGGTAGTTCTCTCAGGAAAGGAGTAGCTACCAGTGAGTGTTGTTACAAAAGCAACTCAGCTCCTTCCCAGCCCCTTCACAGTCAATCTGCCCTTCCACTTTTCTGCCATTGGACTTCCCAACTCCAGACCTATAAGCCAGGTCTTTATATGTTACTCAGTGTCAGGTGCTCTGCTATGGTAACAGAGAACAGACTAAAACAGGAAGTCGCCCAGTTTAGCAGTGGAGGCAGCAGCAAGCAAAAATGAAGAGCAGAAAACGCACAGAAAGGAAAACCAGAAGACAAACTACCACCACCATCTTATCCCACTCACCTGTACTTCCCAAGAACATCAGAATTTTTCCACCCATGTGAATTTTTAGGGGTGTATTAGTTATTATAATAAACTTTAATCAGGATTATTCTACTTATTATATAAAGTAACTTCAGAGCCAACAAAGAACATTTTAAAGCTCTATATACAGAACTCCAATTCCCCCCCACCCCAATTTGCAGTGCAGGTGTTATCAAGTCTATATTTCAAATTATACTAACAAAAGCACCTGGTCACTAAGTGACCTCGATAAAGATTGACTGATTCAGTTTGACAAGGACAGTCTCCAATGCTTTCCAATTAGATAAAGGATCTGATTTGTTTAAAACCAACAACAATAACAACAACAAAACTAATTACCATAAGAGTTGAAATGAGACCACACTGGACTGCTGTGCACGCTAGTCAAAGCGCTGACACAGGCCACCTAAAACCACTGGTCCCAGGGTTCTGGGCCAGGGCCACAGCAACAACTCTCACTCTTACATTTGAACAAGTCTAACTCACATGGCTACTTCACTAAAATCAGAAGAGACAAACACCCATCCACGGCTTTGTAATTTTATAAGAGGAGAAGATCACCTGTCATCTGTAACTTGAGATTTAGAAAACTAAACATAAACTTATATAGTGGTTTTACATTTATTTTAAATGAAGCTTGGAATCAATGGCTCACAAGTCTGTATAATATCTACACTGATCTGCATATAACTCACCATTAGCAACTATGAGACTTGACCATGTAGAAGGATCAACTGAGTTATCTTAGTACCACACTATAGCTGGTGGCAGCACCATTTTCACACAGGCTCTGTTTCATTCCTAGCTCTCTGTGGTAAGGCTAGAGGTCAGACAGAGAAGAGACTATCAAGATCAGGCCATTCAGAAAGCTTCTGCTGTGCCTACCTTTCCCATTGCTCTGCAATCCCCTTTCTCTAAAAAACATACCTGACACTTCTAGACCTGCAGCCAAGAAAGAAGGGAAAGGACAGAACAGCATTAGCAGCTACCATCTCTGTAGCATCTGCTATGTTCCAGGCAGTACATAAATGGTTTATATAGATAATCTTTTCATCTTTACAATAACCCCAAGATCCAGGCCTTATCACCCCCAATGTAGAAGTGAGGAAATGCTGCTATTTGAGTGATACGCCAAAGGTTTGAAGCCACCATTGACCTTTCTGACCCCCCACCCCCCCGGAAAAAAGAGTCAGCTTTGCGTACAATACTCTCTCAACCCTAACCTCTAATGGCACCACCTTCATTGCTTTTGACTGTGAGCCATCACGCCATTTCTGAAATCATTTTCATCTTCCTATTGGGCTTAACGAAAGTCAAAGATCTGTAAAACATTCACCTCCTCCTCCCATCCTCTTTACTCTTTTTTCTTGTTTTTGCTAAAGTTAAAAGAAACCTGAGGTAAAACAGCTACGAAAAAGGATTAGCCATGGTTCCACTTAAGATAAGGTTGATGTCTTGGGACCAGCAGTTAGCGTAATGGCTATGTCACTAGACTCCCACGTAGTTGACCGTAGTTCGAGTCCCGGACCCAGTGGCTTAAACTCACGCCAGGTGTGTGTGTGTGTGCATGCCCAAGATCCTGAAAGAAGAATAAAGGAGAAGGGATTGAGGCGTGGCCACCCCCCCCCGGGGGGGGGGTGATTCCTCACTTTCTGTCTGTCTCTCTGTCTGGCTGGCAAGCGCACACGCCCTATAGCAAAAATCTCTCTAATAAAAGGGAAAAAAACAAAAAAGGTTGATGGCTTAACCTACAATAGCTAACTTAAGACTCTGATATTATTTTTAGGAAAAACAACCTGAATACTTCAGAGTCAATGTGTAATGATGTCATCATTCGTAATGAAACAGTTTAGCAAAAAAACAAAAATAGGGCCAGCAGGTGACTTGAGGATTGAGGCAACTGGATCCCATGTGGCCAATTGTGTAATGTTAGCCATGGACCCAGTGGCTTAAAAAAACACAGCAGGTGTGTGTTCATGCATATCCAAAATTCTGAGAGGAGAACAGAGGAGAAGAGACTGTGATGTGGCCATCCTCCTTAGGGGGTGATTTCTCATTTTCCCCTCTCTCTATATCTCTTCTTTCTCTGGCAAGCACACATACCCTATAGCAACTAAAAAACAATGAAAACCCTCTAACAAATAAGCAAATTTGCCAAAATATTCATTGTTAACTACAGGTAGCAGAAATATGTACAGATGTTCATTGTACTGCTTTTTTCAACTTTTCTATAAGTTTAATACTTTTATAATTAAAGAAATGGTTTTAATGGCTTCCTTGACTTCCTGGTTTCTTAACATGCAACCAAAGCCTAAACCAGAAACTTTCATTACACAGATCATTTGTTTTTATTTTATTGAATTGTCAAAGAAGTCATGATCACTTTTACATAGAAAAACATAGAAAAAATACATCATAACTTTTCCAACAAGCCAGAACTTTTCTGTTAAATTTTTATTTTCTAATTAAAAAAACATTTTAGGGGCCAGCAGGTGGCATGGTGGTTAAGGCACTGGACACTCCCACGTAGTTGACCACGGTTCGAGTTCCGAACCTTGTGGCTTGCTTTCTCATGTGCCTTCTCTCTGTGTATTTGTCTTTCCCTGGTCAAATTAAAATAAATGAATTAATAAATAAAATTAAATAAATAATTATTTTTTTAAAGACAAAAAAAAAAAAAAAAAAAAAACATTTTAACCAAACTCAAATCTGCAATAACAACTTCTCTGGATCTAAATATGTTATTCCCACTGACAGAAAGAAAAAGCTCACTTGCATTTGGATGAGAAAGGATTTTTTTCCCCCTATAACATTATTTACTCAGACTGGAAAAAACTGTCCACCTTAATTTCTTGTTGGAACAGAGCACAAGTGGGAGCTAAAGCTTGAGGCACTATTTACTAATAGATAGCTTTTAATTCTCTAAAGTGAGAGACTGTACCCTTGGATGCTTGCCATATGGCGGACACTCAAGAAATGTCTGTTCGTGTTAGCATGTTTCCATTGGACCATGATGTTGCTATCTGGCTATAAGTCAGAAGGAAAATAATTCTGAAATTGTCCTTCCTCTAGCTGCCATTCTTAGATCTGGCAGTTTTAAATTCAACCAGAAAACAGACACATGAAAAAGTCTAGGACAGGTGCACAAGTAGACTCCAAGAATGTAGACACTTACTTCCCAGAGTTAATGCCTTTCATGTGGTCTGTGTAAATATAGATGTCAGGTAAGAACTTGTTGAGGACACTCCTTGCTGAATCCACAATCCGGTTCGCCATTTGTGGGGACACACGTACGGAGTACCTGCAATCTAGAGTTAAGGATGTCATTCTGCTTGGACTCCAGGGAAAAGAAAAGTCAATTATAAAGATGGCAGATATCTGTGGAACTGTAATAACAAACTAGAACTTCTAATTCCATTCTGTTTTCCAACTGCATTTAATTATTCAACATTAGAGCACCAGAGCTCAATTGTTCTCATTATTATTATAAAAGGCTTAAATGGTTATGGTGAAAAAAAAAAATAAAAAAAAACAAGTAGCACAGAGTAGGAAGTATAAAGCTGACAGTTCCTCAATCTCATCTCTGTTTCATACCCACACCCCTCCCCTACAGACAGTCCCAAGTCAATTCTGGAAGGAGTGAAAACACCTGCCTGTCTGCAGGCCCTGTTCCAGGCTCCCTCTAAAGGACACCACCTTAGAACACTTTCTATTCCTGTCCATTCCCACTGCTGTAGTCATCTCTCTTAAGGCTCTCTAAGCCCCTCTCTTAAAAGCCTAAAGCCAAAACAGAAGCCACACTGGAGCTGACCTGAGTCAATCCCACTTTGCCTTCTGGGAAAGGAGAAGCAGAAAAAGGTTACTGAAAGAGCATGGTTTTATTCATAAAGATCTAAAGAGGTTTTCTAACTTATGGAGCCTATTCTCTATTATTTAAGAATTAATGACTCCATTTGTGGAGTCACACAGGCTCCTCACACCTGCTATACTTTATGGTCAAAACACTCATCATCAGCATTTCTTCAACAGGGCACCTCAGAAAAAGGAGGAAGATACTAGTGACTCAAGTGAAAAGGCTGTTGCTTGAGAAAGTAAAAACTACTACCTACCTAAAATTAGACTTTATAACGAAGACGGGCTCTTGCTCACCCAACATACCACAAAAAAATTAAGTATGCACGAGGCATTTTCAATGCACAATGTATGGCCAAGAGCTAGCAGTGTATGTGGGACAAGAGCCTAAAGAAATGGAGAAATGAGAACATTTGATCTTACTACCCTGATATGAACTCCACAAAGTAAGTCCAAGAAGTTAAAAGCAAGGCATGTGATTTTCTCCTTCCAGCCTAACTGCTCAAGAATCATTATTAATAGCACGTTGAATTTTCATTGCAGCCACAGAAATAAAACGCTCAGACTGTGCAAGGCATTTGCCTTAGCATTCAGCTCCCCTTTCGGACCTGTCCTGACCACTTTGCTAAAAGACTGATATCCTCCCACTAATAATGGTCTCCCAGTGACTCTTGCTGCTCCCACATCCTGCTGTCAAACTCTCCAACCTGCTCAGTGTGTTCCCTCACCCAGCACCACCAACTCCCTCCACCTATCCAAACTGCCCAAGTTCTTCAACCTGAATTCCCTCCCCTCTTTCTTTCAGCCCAGAGTTCCCTCTCTCTCCTGAAAACCTCCAGTCAGCATCCAACTGTGACCTCCACTTGAACTTACCACACATCTCCCTTTACCCCACATACATTCTGTTCTTGCTCTTCGAGACTGCATACTCCCTAAGGGCAGGGGCTTTACTTCTGTATCCCTCACAATTCTCTAATACACTACTTTTGTACTCAGAAATGCTCAATAAATATTTGACTTGACTCAAAGCACAAACCTGAAATGAGGAAAGAGTAAAGAGGGATTTTTCAATACACACACAAAGCCCAATTACATCATAACCTCTTCTGTCCAGAATGTACTTTTGAGCACCGACAACTCAGACAAACAGTCCTGGATCTTGTAGCCTTTGGACTGAGTGGGTGCTGTCCTTCTGAAGCTCAGGGTGCCCAGGAGAGCACAAGAGATGGCACTATCCTAACATAAATCCCACAGCGTTCATAGCTCCCAAAGTTCTCTCACATTATCACCTTATTTCAAGCTCACAGCAACCTGTTGTGAGGGCCACACTCCCTAGTTGTTTAACTTAGACTAAGGACAACTAGGACACAGAACTAAGACGCTTGCTCAAAATTAAACAAATCTGACTTCCAAAAACACTTTCCTCCTAACCTTCCAGAGATACAGAAACCAGGAAGGTAACAGAAAGTAACATTGAGGGACAATGGAAGCCTATATTAGAAAGTAGGCACTGAAATGAAGGCAAAGGAGCCTCAAAGCCAGCTACATACAGAGACACTTGGAGTCAACTGGCTTGGCATGGAGGCCCTACTAAGAAATGGCTAACAGCCCAGTTAGAATCAGCCTGTGTTCAAATCCCAGCTCTAGCAAAGTGCATCATTCTGGGTCAACTGTGCTAATTTCTCTGTCCCTCCACTTCCTCATCAGCATAAGAAAGATAATCACAATATTCTCTTCCCCAGGTTTAGAGGCACGATCCCTGTGAGGAGAGAATTATGAGATAACAGACTTGACTCCCAAAGCAGAGGTCTTATCCTTTCAGGAACCAGAGGCCTCTCTGAGAATCTGATGAAACTATGAATCCTTGCCCAAGAAACACATGCACATATAACTTTATGAATTTGTGACCCTCCTTAACACATTTATGAATATCACATTAAGAACCAATGTCCAGGGGTCAGCAGATGGTGTAGCAGTTACATTCCTGAAGTCCCACATGGCCAATCGCAGTTCGAGTCCTAGACCCAGTGGCTTGAAATTCATGCCAGACACATGTGCATGTGTGACCAAGATCTCAGGAGGACAACAGAGAAGGGATTATGGCATGGCCATTCCCCAGGGGGTGATTTCTCACTTTCCCTCTCAATGTCTGTCTGTCTCTCTCTGGCGAGCACACATACCTAAAGGCAAAAACCTCTACCGAAAGAAAGAAAAAACAATGTCCAAGAGAGACAAGTTTACAGCTGCAGTCCACATGGGATAAGACTCCCACCCCTTCATTCTCCATAGTAATACATCAGAGAGCTAAGAAGTGTGTGTGTTTGTGTGTGTGTGTGTGGGGGGGTGGGTGGTGGTGGTGGTGGTGAGAGAGAGGGGAAGGAATAAAAAAGGTATCTTCAAAGTATTTTTCCTGGGAACCAGCAGTTAGCGTAATGGCTGTCGTTGGATTCCCACGTAGTCGACCACGGTTTGCATCCCGGACCCGGTGGCTTAAAACTCACGCCGGGCGCATGTGTGCATGTGCCCAAGATCCCAAGAGGAGAATGGAGGAGAAGGGATTGCGGCGTGACCATCCCCTCTGGGGGGTGATTTCTCGCTTTCTGTCTCTGTTTCTCTCTGTCTGGCGAGCGCACGCGCCCTATAGCAAAAACCTCTCCAAAAAAAAAAAAGTATTTTTCCTATACTAAAGGGAAGGCAATTAGATGTCTCACAATTCCAGCTCACCCCCATCTTCTACCTCTAGCCAGTTTCTTCATTTAAACCTTATGTACCAAAATCACAGGCTACTGGAACATTACCACAAAGTAAAACAAAATGCTCCTTTCTCAGGTCCCACACCAGGCAGGGGTAGGGGCCGGTGGGAATCAGAGTGGGTGGCCTTAAATAAAGAGTAACTACTGTCTAGTCACAGCTGCTGGCAGGAACCAACACCAGCTCCCTTACAGGACCCAGCTGGCTGGTCATCTTGATGTGGCATACAAGAGAGCACAGCTGTGCTTTGGAAGGTAACTCAGCTACAACCACAAATACACACCAGAGAGTGGGGCAGGTTCTCCCAACTCAAGCCCTCCTATGAGGAAATACAACCTCCAAGCTCAATCCAACATTCAACTAGCCTTGCAAAGTAAAAGACCCACAGAACTAACTAAAGCTTTTTCCATAGGCAGCTCTCTTTTCTCAAGCTCCAAAACTGGCAAAGGTGGTCTCAATTCAAACCCACATTCCTTTGAAGTGTTTGTTAAACAAGCAGCTCTGCAAACCAGTGGGGACAATGTCTGGTTGCAGGCAAAGATCTAAGTGAGGACACTGTGTAGACTGCCCTGGGAAGAGGAAACCTCTGTAAGTCAGAGATATACCGGGGATGATTTAGTGTCCTATCTCCTGCCACAAGGAAGGAGAAGGACCTGGGATCTCACAAGAGTCCTCTTTACTAAGATTCCATGTAGGAAGGTTCAATGAACGCTATAGGGAGAAAGCAGGGAGGAACAAAGTTATACCAAGGTGCCTGGGGCACCACGACTCTTTCTGCTTTTATGTTCTCCTCTGTAAAACCTTGGCGGTGTCCTCATTTCTCAGCATCATCATTAAAAGACTTCTAACAAAGCTTGTGCATAGAAAATAAAGAGGGTCCCCAGTTGGAGGGCCTCCAGGAAACTCACGAGGTTGCGACAAACCTATGTCAAAACAGAACACACTGCCAGAAATCACATTTCTAAACAACAGAGACTGAATTCCATGCAGAATTCTGATTGCTGCCACAATACCACCAAGAAAACACATCTCAAATGAGGAGGAAAAAAAAAACCAAAACTCTGAAATTGTCCAGGAAGTGTATAGGATCTCAGGTACAAGGCCATTAACTGTAGCATTTCTGGCAACAGTGAAAAACAGAGAACTCAAGGGGCTATCAACAACAGGGTTGGATCTGGGATTCTTTATATGGTGGAACGTCAGAGAGAATGAACTCCACCAGTAAGTAACTGATACAGACCAAATAGAAAAGGCATATGTAGTTTAAAATCCATACACACCTAGTGGCACTGCATTTCCATTTCTTTTCTTTTCACTTCCTTTATTTTATTTATTCCATGAGACAATGAGAGAAAAAGGAGAAAGGGAGGCACAATAGAGTCTCAAAGCCATGATCCACCCTCAGCCTTCAGTCAGCCCCTTAGCATGGGCAGGTGTACTGAGGGATGTCTCCAGACTTGAACCAGGAACTTTACCACATAGGAATGTCTTGCAGAGCATAGCATTTTAATGCTGTCACTGTCTAGCCCCTCCATTTCCTTATAACCTTCTCTATAACCTTGTTAAAACCAGGTCTTCGGAATCAGAGAAGTTTAGAGCTGAGTATCACCATAGGAAGTCACCTGGTCAATTTAATTATCCACAAGCTGGGTGCTCCTAGGACTGGACTCTTTCTCCTCAACCTGCCTACTCTGCCAACAGTGAGCAGTAGAACCACCGTTAGCGCCCCCAGTTGTCTGACTCCAGCAGATGGGGTTTGAGTTGCCTTGTAACTTCCTTTCATCAGTGTCTCTCTCCTACTTCAATCTACTTCATTTACAAAACACTCAAATCACTGCCGACCTTTCGTTAGAAGGAAGGGAGTCTTCTTCACTCTCCCTTCATCTTTCTTTCTCCTTTCATTCCTATCAGTATTCTAGAAAGAGGAGGAGAGGTTGGTGTAATGGTGGCATAGGTGGACCCACAAGGGAAAGGCTCCCAGTTTTTCACCTGTACTTTTCAGAAGTTCCATAATGTGCCAGAAGTTCTTATATTACCATGAGAGTTGTCCTCCTACATGCAAATTATCTCTCCAAATGAAAATTACTGGGAAATTTACTGACTGGAGTAAAAGCCAACTCCTCAGCACGGCCTTCAGCTCTTCACAGGCTCCTGCCCAATTCCATGCCCTGCCTTCTAACACCAAACACCAATGACTGACCTGCATTCCAGCCATACCACATTGCTTCCTACTCCCCAGACCACTGTGCACTGCAACCTGAGCATAGGTCCATTTCACCCTGAGGCTTCCCTGCCTTTTCACTCCACTTCGCAAGCCTCTATTCTTCATGGCTCAGTTTACACATCCTCTCCTTCTATATGAAAAGCAGAGGTTAGAAGCATGGATTCCAGAATCAGACAGAGTTCAAATCCCAGCTCAGCAATTATTAGCAGTATGACAATAGCAAATTCCTTGTGCTTTTGAAGCCTATATACCCATTTGTTTAAAATAGGATG